TTCATTAAGTAGCTGATGTCTTTAATGCACTTGTGCTATAGTGGAATTGGTGCAAGATGCACAATGGAGAGAAAAAAGGAATGTAATGAGTTACCTTGAAAACGTGGCCATTGGTATTGCAGCGCCGCCTCCGTAGGGGTTTCCGTAACGTGATTAGAGAGCATTAATCCTTAGTTTCAAGAGGCCTGCTTTATTTTCAGCTCTCTGTTTTACAAGGAGAACACGTCTTTTCACCAAAGCATCTTTTGGTGTGGACATAATCCATGCTGAGGTCGTCATTTTTCAAAAAAATTGATCTTTAAAACCGCTTAACATGCTGGTCCTCCCACCACACACACACACACACACACACACACAAACACACACACACACACACACACACACACACACACACTAAGGTAAGAGGGCCCTGAGGAAATAAGTGGAGGCACTGCAAAATATTTTTCTTTACACCTCCATTTTTTATAAAATCCACTTGCTCTCCATTAAGTTCCTCTCTCATTTCATTTATTTCTTCCCTTTCCTCGCCCTTATTTTATATGTGACCCGCATGGCATGCTTATGCACAGCATACAGAAATCTTGGCTCTTAACCCGAAAAATACCAAGACCAGAGCTAAAGTTATATTATTCAGCTTGCACTTCTGTCAGTGAATGTGAAGCAACGTGCACATGAATGCATATTCTACTCATATACTCACTTCAGGGCCTCATTTATATTTGTACATAGGTTTAATTTTGCAGCATTTGTTCGTTCAACCAGTGCAGAAATGGCTAAAAAAAATACCAATTACTGGAGAATATTCTCACGTTGTAACAATAACTTCATTGCACAGAGGATTAAGATTTGGATTACTATTAAGAAGCAAGAGTTTCTCCCAACATTTCTGAGACTGCCTCCAAGTGGTAGCATACACTGTTTCTGTGTGCTTGTACACCTCCAAACCAAACAGAATCTCTTGGAAGTCTTAGATGATACTGACGTTTGAGAGTGGATAAAACAGCATGGCAGATATGACATTTTGTGTGTCTCTAGGTGTGTGGATGAGTTTTATTGAACATTTTAAACAGGCAAGACCTTCTTTTCATTAAAAAAATGCTGAAGAACCCTTTCGGATATGCTCGAGCATGATGCAAAGATTTCCTGTGATTTTGCGGGTGAATGTTTCACAGCTGTAAAGGAGAGATAAGTTAGAGAATATCACTGGGTGGGCTGAAATGAGAGGAAACTGGTGACATCAAGAAGGTCTTAGCAGTTCGTACGACAAACAATGTCTGGTAGAAAAAAGAGAAGTCTGAATCTTCACACTGCCTATACACACAGCTTCAAAAATATTCCTTGTGTTTAGATGGAGATTCACAGATGGTAGTTTCTTGGTTTCTAGTACTTTAGAAATGGATAAATGTTGCACAGATTACATTACTTTTGACGTCCGTGTGTTCGATTGCATCATTCAACCTTTTAAGTCCTGGTAGATGAAAAAGACTATCTAATATTTGGTATAGCTAACTGATGTCCATCTATTCTCCTCCTCACTTCATCAGTATGGTCACAGGGAGCTGGTGCCTAACTCCAGAGGTTATTGGGCCAGAGGCAATAGGAAACATGCTAGACAGTTCGGCAGTCCAGACAGAAGCAAACGAGAGACAGCCGTGCCAACTCTCTCAAACCTAAGGGCGATTTCAAGTCTCCATTTAATTAACAAGCATGTTGTGGATCTGTGGGAGGATGCTGGAGCCCCTAGAGAAAACCCATGCACGGGAAGAGTATGCCAACTCTGTGCAGAAAGGTTGTAGTCAGGATTCAAACCCGTGACCTCGCTGCAACAGGGTTAGGGTTAAGGTAGACCTCACCCTCTGTCTTTCTATTTTCTTCTTTTCCACCAACAAGGATAAAATATGTTCAATGGCTTTCATCCTTTTGTACAGCGGGGCATGACTGATAACTAATGACTGGTTCTGTGTAGTCTGAAACACCATTCAGAGTTCCTCTTTGAGTGGTAACAAATGTACTAGGAGCGAGTGAGTGAGCGAGTGAGTGAGTGAGTGAGTGAGTGGGCTCAGGTTTATGAATGAGTGAAAGGGTTGGCCTTAAAAAACTGAGCTTTATTCATGTTTTATTTTTCAGATACGAGATTGTATTGCATTTGCATTTCTCATGAACCAGCCATGAAAATCTTCAAAGTTTTCTTTCCATTTACCAGGCTTCCTTGAACAATGTTTTCAGACTTAAAATGAAAGTTCAGATCTTTTCTTTGAAGTTTTGTGGAACGATAAACAACTAATGTCTTAACTAATGCCTTACTTTATATAGATCACACTTTAAACAAGTTCAGGTGGTGATTAGCTCATGGATTGATAAGCTAGCAGCTAGTCTGGCCTGGAGAATTTCCAGATCTCAGATCTGAAAATGTTAAAAGCAGCTCAAGTAAATACTTTTTGTAAACTTTAACATTTTCATATTCCTTTAGATCCACAATGGCAACCTTTTCAAAATAAAAAAAATATTAATCAATTTCCCTCTGGGATTAATAAAGTATTTTTGAATTGAATTGAATTGAAAAGTACAATTGGTGCAACAAGTGGAGCAACTGCTAGTGACGGCTGCGGCTATTTTGCACAAATATTTCTACATAAATGTCTAATGATGCAAATCTAATATTGATCCAAAGGAATTAAATTGATCATTTGTATGAATCAATATCAAATTTGAGTTTTTTTTTGTTTTTACAACAATTTAAAGGATCTGTAGTTTACATCTAACTTATGAACCATGAAATGTGAGATTCCATAGAAATATGAAATATCAGTCTGATGGATCTTTGACTATTTTAAGCAGAAGATCAGAACTTTTTATTGCAGGGATTAAGCGACACTTCGTATTAACTTCAAGGAAAGAGAGAGTCAGGTTTATAAAAGTTAAGAAATGTATTTCTACACAATTAAAACAAGACTAACTTTAACACTCTGTGTACTGGTGGACTAAGGTGGAATGAGGTGTGAGATGATGGTGTGTGTGTGTGTAATGTTGTTATCAGAACCAGCAGATCCGGAGAAGCATTTAGTTCTGAGTGGGAGTGAATGTTTCGCTCTAAACTTTAGGAGATTTATAACACACATGAAACGCCATCTGTCAGTCTACATACCCCAGGGGAAGCCTCCGTTAGATCCAGAATGTCTAGGTCCTCTTGGACCCGCCTTGGAACAGAAGCCGGTAGAAAAGCAGCGGTGCCGACCAAACTAGTCTTGGAATGCTTCCAGGTCACGACAGGTTCATTGGCGTCAGCGAGACCCTGAAGGGGTCGTGAGGTTCAGCCTTTATTCTGAAGGAATCGTTGCGGTCAGGTGTAACTTGCAACAGATTTTATCCAGCTTGTCGGGGTTCTTTTTGGCTGAAGAGGAAGTCCGGATGGCCGGTCCGAGACTTCTCTAGAACGCTTTGAACTAAAGAAAAGGTGGCGTGGGATAGTTTTTATAATTGTCATATTTTGGTTTACTGGCAAATCAGAATTTGACATGCAAAAGAGGGTTTATACAAACACCAGCGATAACCACACCTTGCGCCAGAAACGAAGGTTCTGGTTGGATCAGACAAAAGGAAATGTGCCGTGTGACTTTAGCATTACGTGTCATTAGTGTCTAGTGCAGCTGTCCAGGATTATAATTACTTGTAAAACACTACTGATCACACGGTTATAATATCAAGTACCAACATTGTCATTTCACAGACTGATTGAACATTGGGCTCACATTATTATTGGTAATAGCAAACATTGTTTGATTATGTATTTATCAAGAGAGTTCTTCGTCTTCGTCTTGAGCTGTAACAGAGGTGAAGCAGTTCAGATGAGCAGCGTGCATGAAAGACCTTGGCCACTATCTCATGTAGATTAGCCTGTCAGAGACTTTATGTCTCTGCTCGAACAGACACAGCAGATCATGACCTTTAGGTCAAAAACAGAACATTCATGACTCTACAACAACATTTATCTTCTTTGGTCTTGGCTCCACTTTAACTAGTTGTTGGCTCGTCAATCCAGTCAGAAATAAACAGTTTTTTTCAAACTGAATTTTTGCAAAAATATCATCTACAACTGCTAAAATGCTGACTATTCTCAGCTGAATTCAGTTTATTCATGTTGGTTATTTTAATATACAAAAGCAATACTCAAATGTATATCGTGTCCAACGTGAAGCTAGCTGAAAATGTAGTCAATTCCATTGAGATTTCATTCAAATGTAAAGTGCATTACAAATAAAATCTATTACTATTATTATTATTAGTCAATTCCATTCACTCGTAAACTAAAGTATATTCTGTAGATTATAAAATGCTTAGTGGTAAATCAAGCATTCATAAGAGGACCGGCAGATTGCATCAAATTTTAGATCATCAGGTAAACTTCAGTAGAGCTGGCCTCAGAATGGTTGTTTAAAACAAGTTTGAAATAACGTATCACAATCTTTCCATGGAAATCCACTTCAGATCATTTAATGCTAACTTATGAGCTCCAGTGTTTAACCACCAAGAGGAATATAGGAATTTGCATCTAGATTCTGCTTGATTATACAGGAAAATTCATGTTTGGGGATTTTTTAAACACTCTTGACTGCATCGGTAGGCAGCAATCTTTTGGTGCATTTCCAGGTTACTGATCATACTCGCAAGCTTCTTTGAGTCACCAGACATTTTAATAACTTTACACTTGAAGAAGAAAAAGTCTCTCATTGTGGAAGAAAAATACAAATTGTGACCTAAGGTGCTTCTTTTGAAATATTAGATTTATGCATGACATTTTATTAGCTGAGGCTTTAAACCCGTGGGTTGGAACTTTTTTAAACTGATGTATTCTTTTGTTCTTCTCTCTTCCCACCTCTTCCACATGACTTGATTATTTTATTTCTTTTACTATTTTCCTTCCACCTCCTCTTCCCCACTTCCTGCCTTGTTCTACCCCACATTCATTTCTCTCTACCTTTGTATTCATCCACCCCCCACAGAGAAGTGTGATGAGGCTCTAGCCTCGCCTCTGCCTCACACGGCCTTCACCAGCTCATCTGTCTTCTCTAGTGGATATGCACCGGGATACGCCAAGCTCAACAGGAGAGGAGGTAGGCGCACACGTCTGCACACACAAATGCAGAAGAAAGAAAAGAAACACAGAGCATGTCAAGTGTTTCTTCTTTCTGTGAGGCGTCTACACTTGAAAAGACCAGACTTTGGCTTCACTCAGATATGTCTTTATTTGACCAGTTTCAGGATCATCATAAGTCAGTATCAGCATCAGCATCAGGTGAAAACCTTTAAATACAAAAATAGAACTGTTTAAAGATCACACACAGAAAAACACAATGCGTTTTACAGGTAACAAACTTAAAACATTCCAACCAACATCTGTAATTTAAATAGAAGGTGAGTACTTAAGTTCTAAGTAAAAGTATAGTTTAAGGTTTAAACATATTCTAGTATTTAAATTAAACAAGTTTTATTTTCTCAGATTTTACTACCTTATACATCTTTACTTTCAGTTACTTTTTCCAGTATTTAACCTGTGTTTTTAAACATTTTAATTAAGGTTTTAATTAAGGATTGTTACAAATAATCTTACTTACATTTTAACTAAATTCACTAATTTCAGGATTTAAACAAAGAATCTTGGGTTACCATTTTTAAATATTAAATTTCTATAAATTGGGATGGAAACCCATATTTTCTGATAAACTTAAAGAAAAACCGAAACTTCCTCCTAACAGTTGTTTGCCACAAAACTTAGCTCAGAAAAAAGTCCATGTGAATCATCCCAAGAGCTTACCGATAGCCTGTCAAGATCAAAGTCCTCCTCACAGCTGAATTGTTTGCTTGCCATCTCAGTTTTGTCACACCCTGGTTGAATGACTGCTGCTTGCATGAAGAAGCCACTAGTGGTTAGCTCTTGATTTCCTGATTTGGCTCACCTGGAGGAGCACACACCAGAGTTCACAAACCCCCTCTGGCCAGTGTGAAGATTGCATGCATAGCTCATGTGCAGACACTGTGCAGCAGAGTCAGCATGAGGAGGAGACAGTTGACCACTGCCAGGTCAGCATGACAGAGCAAATGTCCTTTTACTCTCACACAAATGGCCACTGTGCTGATGATCTGGACACAGTTATTGTAAACACAAAAAAATCTAATTTGCCTACATGCGCGTACATCCTTGTGAATGGTTTTGCAGACGACACACTGTGGGATAAATGACCAGCTTTTCAAAGACTGACACTCTTCCCAGTGCTTCACAGCTGCTGTTACCTCTCTCTACCTCTGCTCGCTCTACCTCTGTCTTCCTTTGTCCCTCACTCCCGCCGTGTCATAGTTTTATTCATTATCTCAATGGCTCAGGCAGCGGCTCATTTCCACATCAGTCCACAGCTAAGAGAGATATGGACGGACAATTAGACCCCTTTATGTTTATACAATTAATAATTCATAGTTCTCCGTCTAATGGAGTCACCCCGCAGCCGAGGGGACTGAGCAGTGAACACTGTCCTGGCAAATAAAGGCGAAGTAATCTGGTGTGTTTAATCTCAGCCAATTGAATTATTGCTGTGAGAGAGGGCAGGTGTTAATTGAAAAATAAGTCCTATCGATAATAATGTATCAATGTAGATGTGATGGAATGAAGCTGAATGGACACGTCATGCTGTCCTTATCTCGCATCTTGTGTTTGAAAATTAGATAAATGGCAGGTCCCTCTATCACGTCATTTCATGAAGAATACAGAAAAATATTACGAAGTAACTTTCTACACTGAATTGATTTTAAAGTGCTTCTACTAGTCTATGAATCAGTCAATGGAATGGGGCCAAAATACATGCCGGATGTCATTTCCCACATGCCCAGCAGGCAGAGGTGTGGATCCGAGTCACATGACTTGGACTCGAGTCAGACTTAAGTCATTACTTTAATGACTTCTGACTTGACTTGATAAAATCTATAAAGACTTATGACTTGACTCGGACTTGAACGCCAATGACTTTTAAATTAAAAAATGAAAACATTCATGTGTTCATCAGCCTTTGCATGAATGTATATGCTGCACCTTCTGCACTGTAACTGCTCACCCTTTAACTTTGTTCTGAAATGAATTAGTGCATTTAATCTGATCTAAACTTATCTGTGTATTTTAATTGTGCTGTCATATTTGTGCTATTCTTGCTAATGGAAAGCACATTGAATTGCTTCTGTGGATGAAATGTGCTATACAAATAATGCTGCCCTGCCTTGTCGGATTAAAATTTAAATCCATGTAAAAACATTTCCTGAAATAAATATTGTTTCTAGAATAAAATGACAGAAATGAGGAAAATAAAAATCATTTGGAGGAAAATTTTGAATGCAAAGCCCGTGTTTTCCATTTTACAATACCTGAAGGTTCTGAGAGTAAACCATACAACAGAATATACTATTGAACAGTAGTTGCAGCGTTTTGGCTACTTCAGCTGTTACATTTCAATCCTTCAAAACTAAAGTCCCAAACATAAACACACGGACAATGAGATATGAAGCTTATAAAATAGAGTATTTATTTTTTTCTTGGTAAAACTCATCTCATTCTTAGAATAACCTCCTTTGAATTTGTGCTCTGGACAAAGTGATTCTTATTTTTGTTTATTCTTCAAAACAGGAGTTTAGTATGTTTTATTATTGGGGCAGCAGTAGCTCAGGTGGTAGAGCGGGTTGACTCATGATCAGAGGGTCATGGGTTCGATTCCAGCTCCTGCCAGGGGTATCCTGCTGTTGTGTTGGGCAAGACACTTCACCCAACTTGCCTGTGTTAGTGGTGGTCAGAGGGGCCAACGGCGCCAAATGGCAGCCTCGCCTCTGTCAGACTTCCCCAGGGCGGCTGTGGCTACAAGTAGCTTACCGTCACTAGCAGTGTGTGAATGTGAGAGTGTGTGAAAGCATCTTTGGGTGTCTAGAAAAGTGCTATATAAGTTCAATGCATTATTATTATTATTATTATTATTATTTCTGGAAATAATTAGATATTTTTTCTTAACACTTCCTCCCTTACTTTCCCCTTCTGTGTGACTCTAACACATGTTGTCTCTCCACTATATTCAGTATAAAAAATACATATGTGTACACATACTGTACAATCCCTTGCCTCTACCTTGCTGGTTACTGTGTTGCTTCAGTGTTTGCAGTGTATTGCCAAAGCCCATTCAGCTCTTTTCCTGCTTGCCCACCTGTCATTTTCACCCTCATCCCTGCAGTCCAGAGTATGACTATGTTCTTATATGCAATTCTACTCCAGTTTCCCAACGCTATAAAACAGGGGAGGCACAAAATCAATGAAATGCAATCAACAGTCCAACATGCTGCAGTGAAACTTACTTTTTTTTCCTCATGTTTTCCTTTTCTATGATCCACATCCAGCCAGACTGGCAGAGAGAACTAAACCACATTCAATCAGACTTAGTGTCAAATGTGCCACAATTGAAACGTGTGAATTAGGATATTCCTCGTTTGTCAGAGGAATGACAACTAAATTAAAATTTTGCCTTCCTTTAGCATGTAAAGTTTTATTCCTGCATAAAAAAATGTCACGTTTGTGAGGCAAGTCATCCAATGTGATAATTTCTTAGTGCAATAAAACAGAGGAAGCATAAAATCAGAGTAACATACCACTCATGTAGAGCTAAGCTCATTAAGCTGTTAATATTATAGGCTAACACAGGTGTTTGCCTCATACTCTGATTGTTCACTGGTCGATTTTTGAAGGAATTTTGGGCAATCTGAAAGCATTTCTGTCAAAAAAATATAAATATGTCCCTTACACATCATAAAGGGCTTCATGAATGGCCTCTGTTCAGAAAAAGAGTTTACATCCTACAAGTTTGATGGGCCAATTGCTAGTTTGGGTTTATCCTTGACAAACTGTATTCATGCCATTTTGAAATTGCTCCAATGTGCAAATATTCCTAGCAGAAACATCACTAGCATAGCATGTGGTACTTCACACCACACAGCCTCCCAACACGTAAGGAGCCCCAATGCATCAGAAACAAACGTTTGGTCACCCATCGTCACTTTTCGACGCTTCGGGTGTGAGAATGTGTTGATGTGCCCAGTGAGCCGTGGTGGATGGCTGCTTATACTGAGCCAGGATCCTCTGGAGGTTTCTTCCTTCTCCACTGTCGCTGCATGCTTGCTTAGTATGAGGATTGCTGTAAAGTCACCGACACTAGTCAGCGACTTGATGCAATTTGCTGGGTTCCTTAGATAGGAAACTTTTTACTGATTGGCTTAATGAATTGACCTGTATTGGAATGTTTACTATGTGAAGTGCCTTGAGATGACTCTTGTCGTGATTTGGCGCTTTATAAATAAACTTGAATTGAATTGAATGTGTTGGTGGTGGTCAGAGGGGCCGATGGAGCAAAATGGCCTCGCCTCTGTCAGACCGCCCCAGGGCGGCTGTGGCTACACTAGCTACCATCACCGGTAGTGTGTGAATGTCAGAATGCATGATTAACGGAAAGTGCTTTGGGCGTCTTGAAAAGTGCTATATAAATCCAAACCATTATTATTATTATTATTATTATTATTAGTAGTAGTAGTAGTAGTAGTAGTAGTAGTAGTAGTAGTAGTAGTAGTGAACTAGTAGTAGCGCTTTAAAATGGATTCCGTAGTTAAGTGGTAACCAGTGTAGAGATTTTCTTGTTAAGACTCTAGCAGCAGCATTCTGAATAAGCTGCAGTGGATTCCCAGCGTTTTACGGAAGACCAGCCAAAAGACCACCGCAGTAGTCCAGCCTGCTGGAGATGAACGCATGAATAAGGTTCTCTAGGTCTTGTCTGGACCCCTGAGTCCAACACATTCTCACTCCCAGCGCGTCAAAAACAAACGCTTGGTCAGCCTCCCTCCACGTCAGACCCCTGACGCCAAAAGTGCCCTTTTTCGTTACTTATGTGCGAAAAAGGGTTTTTCCCTTATTTGACTGCAGATCCCAATGCAGCGTAAAACTGACGTGATGGGATGTCTGCAGCCAGGGCACCAAACAAGCTCATTGTACCTCACCTTAACCTTATCCTCTTATTCAACCTTCCCCTCACCCCTATCCTAACCT